CTTACATGTTCCCATGTTCCTATGAGTGCTTCTATCCTATTGCCACTAGCCATTTTGTATATCTAATTCAAATAAATGATGGATTAAACAAACCATAACAAGCTGCATTTACCTTATATATATTTTGCTTTTTAATAAATAACGTGCTAACGAAAATAATGCCTGTTACAAAACGATAACAAACACACGTGTAAATGACGAAATTTTATCTCAAAGTGTTTACAGTCATCAACACAAGTCACTGCATAAACGTATCAGCAAGGTATGATGCACAAATATTTTCATGACCACTAGAGAAGAAAAGGAAAGAAAGTATTAGAAAGACAACGTCACACATATCAGGTACGTGGATATACAGCAGCCTTACCTTAGATGTAGGAGAAGGATGTTTGATTGATTCTCTGTAGATTCATATTGAATATAGAAAAGAAAAACATTGATCAATGCATCGATCACTACCACGTGCTTTTTCTTCTGCACAAAATTCAATACTTTTTCTCTTATCAGTAAAGATAAAAGGGTTGAAAATTTTCAAGCGTTTTATGGTCAAAGTAAAAGTCGTATTTCTCTCACTGAATGATTTATCCACGATACATTTTAGTTGTTCGACACAGCAAACAAGGAACATTGCGTCATCTCAACATAATACTTGCTTAGTAATCGTTATTTCCATCTTAGACGAACTAAAAAGGCAAGAGAATGGGTTCCGGTGCCAGCTTTGAATGCTCGGTGTGCACAAGCGTCTCATACGATCGCTGTGATATGAGGAGCAATATGGTCGCACATATTACCGATGAACTCTCCTTCTGTTATTGCTAATAATGACTTTTTATTTAATCAAGGCAAGAAAAAAAAACTTGACCGTAATAAAATGAATATATTATTTTCCATATATTTACAATACGATTATGAAAAGTGTTTGAGATTTTCCATAACTGATGAATCTTTCCAGCAGAAAAAAGACCACAAATAATTATATAAAATACCATTGACGGATATGGACAGGGTCCTAGATCTTTTCAAATCATTTGACATTTGAGTGTATGAGCCCTTTCTTTCACTCACACTTAAGGATCATGACGACTAGCGTTTAAAAACGTTTATTTTTAAAATATAGTTAATACATTTTAGAGGATATACAAAAATTTGGTAACGGTTTTCATATAAACATGCTTAGACATCATTTTTGTCGTTTAGTCTGTTCCTGTGGACGTTTTACTTACAGTTGTGATGGAAGCCAATTTAATAATTGCTGTAATCCACAAGGTTCTATACATCGTGGACATGTATGTCTGTAATAAAACCAATCGGCGATACATTTTTTATGAAAAACATGACCGCAAGTAGTAATTACACTATTTGTATGATACATTGGGTCATAACAAATACTGCAATCATCATAATAGTGTGTAATATCTAATTTTATAATTGTTATCGATTTCATATACGCTAATATTTCTTCTGCTGGTATTTTAATTTGAGTGAAACGTTCAACAACGTTACATATTGATGATAGCCAAGAATTATCATCATTTGGTTTTGGAAAATAATAAAAATCACTCGAATGCATTGCATCAAGTTTAACACTATCTAAAAAGCGTTTTCGTATATCTTTCAATAGAGAATCCACTTGTTGATTGCTATGTGATTGAAGATCACCAAATATGACATTTTCTACTTTATTGATAAGTTCAATAATTTTCTCATCATCCTTATTTATATTTAAAAATGTTTCTGTGTTCATGTTCTCTTCGTTACAATGTGTAAAAATAATTGTACACCATTTTAAACCACCATCACCAAAAACAGAAATAATTAAATCTAGATACCGCCATATATCAATAGAAATTCTTCCATATTGAACACATAAATAAATTTTGTTATAACCAATAACAGCATTATCAATCAATTGTTTTATCAATGTAACTATTTCATCTGTTGTAAATCTAGTATCACCAAAGCCAATGGAATCTGTATAAGCATACTTATTACAGTCATAATAAGTAGTAAAATTTTTTGTAACACCATTTGTTGTTGAGCCAACTGGAGCTGGTCCATACATGGTTTCTTTTCTGACATCGTCATTACATAGAACGTTGATCAATGAAGATTTTCCAACTCCAGTTGGACCAAGAAATAAGAAACGTTTTTTCACATCCATTCAAAAAAGAAAGAGAACAAAATTGTTATTTGTTTTGTTGCAATGGTAGAAAATCTCAATTATTTAATAATACAAGACTAATAACTAATCCACAAGTACTGAATAGAAATTTTATACGAAAATGCTCATAAATACATTTGTCGCATAAGAGTAAATAGTTTTATTATTTCTTAGGATTGATAACAACTCCATTAGCCAATCATTAGTGTTGACAAGAAAGAGAAGAAAAGCCATTAGTGCACCTCAAAAAGCCAGTTAGAATATCGAAATGACAGGTGTCGCAATGCTATTATTATGTAGAGAGGTATCAATATTTCAGGACAGTTCATACAACACTACCAGTACACGTGCCGATACAGCACTTATATGTGTGAGGTTGTCGTTGCAGGAAATAACTTTTCCAGATAATTACTGGAACTATCTTTCTGTTAAATATCTATGATAACAAATAGTTTTTTTTTGATGATTTTGAAAAATTTTTCGTTGTGCGTTTATATAATACTGAATGTATAAAAATAATGGCTAGATCCTTGTTAGAAAGTTTACTAAATAAAATTGATCATCTATATTGAATTTATACAAATACTCATTCAAGTACAAAATATTTGAATATAACTCATCAATAACTAAACAAATGAATGGTGCTACTCTATTTTGAATCCTGTTTATTTATTAAGAAATCCTGAAAGAATCTTTTAGAATTCTTAATCTGAAGGATTCTATTCCGGGACCCTAGTAATTACTGTTTTCGGAATATCTCATCATGAAATAGAATCCTTTTTAGGAATTTCTTCAAGCTTTTGCTCCGATTTTGTTATCAACTATGAATAAAGAATTCTAAACTGATTCATTTTCGATTCTAACCAAGATCTTGGCAATAATAATAGAAACATTTATGCTACCAGTTTATTAATTTTTTATCAGAACCTGTTTGAAAT